CTTTTGAACTGTGGTGTTGGAGAAGACTCTTGAGAGTCCCTTGGACTTCGAGGAGATCCAACCAGTCCATCCTAAAGGAGATTAGTCCTGGGTGTTTATTGGAAGGACTGATGCTGAAGCTGAAACTCCAACACTTTGGCCACCTCATGCGAAGAACTGACTCATTTGAAAAGACCCTGATGCTGGGAAAGATTGAAGGCAGGAGGAGAAGGAGATGACAGAGGATGAGAGATTGCATGGCATCACCGACTCGGTGGGCATGAGTTTGAGCAAGCTTCAGGAGTTGGTGAAGGACAGGGAAGCCTGGTGTGCTGCAGTCCCTGGAGTTGCAAAGAGTCGGACATGATTGAATGAATGAACTGAGCTGAATTGAACTGAGGAAGAAGCAAGGCATTAATTGAATTCTGAAAAAGACACAAGTGTAATACTTTCAATTTATTTCACATTGTTTAAGTTGTGAAGGGTGCACGGTTTGTAGTTTGAAAACATATGTGCAAACTATAGTTACATAAAGATCTCATTTATTCTTAATAAAATACTAGGAGGATTGAAGGTAAGTAGAGTGTTATGTTAGGGATAAAACAATGTAGAAAAATAGGAACAATAAAATGTGACAGTTTCTAAGAAGTCAAGGGAGTATTGAATACAATGGTAAAGCACATTAGAGAATAATTAGACCAATGAGAGGAAGGGAAACTATAAAAATTTGAGTTTATGTTTAAACATGTGAAGACATTTTCTAGGTTTGACAAGTGTCAGGATTTTAAAATGTATAGTATATAATATAATCTGTAATATATAATTTTATATGTAATGTGTAATAACATCACATTATAAATGAGTAGATTTATTTTTTGAAAAGTGTCCAAAAATTAAAAGATGCTGTTCTCCATGATATCTTCATAAAGGCAAGGGCCATACCTCTTTGATTCACCACCTGTCTCTTTGGCAAATAGCACTGTGCTTGGCACTTAATTATGCTCACCAAATGTTTGAGGAACAGAGAAAGTAGATGTAACATGGTATGGTCCCCATTTTCATAATGTAGGATGAAATGGGTAAAGCAAATTTTAACAATTTGGAATTTTTTAAAATTCTCTCTTGACCAAAGAAAAGGTTATGTTATCACTATGAGATCAAACTAATCACTTGATTATTACATAATCATTAATGTAATAATATGCTTAATGCCTAATGATAGGCTGAAATAGTCTGGTGACCTCTGATTCTATCATTTCAAATATTTGGTTCCTACATTATTAGACCTTTTTTTCTCAAGGTTATTAAAATGCCTGCAGGTGATTCCAAATATCCTTTCTCTTTCAACTCGCATAGTAAGAAGTCATGTGTATTCTTGTGTAAAACTAGCATATTCCGTTTTTTCCAGATTTCAGTTCTACTAGATCACGGTGACTGAAAATTTACTTTTTATGACAAACAAGATGGAAATGAGTAATTGAAGGTTTTTTGTTAAGTCCAAAGAACCATATTTCATCTTTTATTGAAGTGTAAATCACATATGTTAAGTACTATATCTAATCTAGATTCTCATCAATTAAGAAAAGAATTTAGGAAAGTGATTGAAATGAACTTCTGTGAAGTGCCAATAAGCTGCAATATCATGGAATAAAGTAGTTCAAGTTACTGGTATAAGAAATCTTTATACCAAAGATGGAAATGACCTGACACTTTTCTCAGGGGAGAGATGAAACCACAGAAACATGGGAAGAATTATTTTCAGACTGCATAGTAATGTGGTACCACATTTCTCAGTCCAGATAGGAGACTGAATACTAAATAGGAAACAAGATGGAGAAAACTGCATACATGTGTAACTCTTTGTGCTCACCTCCTGAGCGGGAAAGTGAACAGAGCTACAAAACTGGACACAGACCTTCAAACAGGGTCACCTACAGAAGTTGCCATTTGCCCTGCAAGCTTCCAATGGTGTCATTAAATCACAATTAGTATTAACAGAAGTAATTAGGACTATGTTTATATTCCTAATGGAGGGTTGTATACTTGCAAGGAAATTTTTACGGAAGGGAGAAATTCTGAAGCATTTACTGTGGTGAAGTCTCATAAGACTTGAAAATCAAGCATTTCAGCCCAGGAGGCTTTTATTTTTTAACAGCCAAAAGAGTTGGCTTTTGTTTTTGACTTTAATTTAAAGGTTAAATGTCTTGCCTTTTTCATTTATGGTTTAACATATTCGTAGGAAAAAGTGAAACAGACGAATGCATTCAAAGGGATGATGGTTAAGGTTTTCTCTATATTTTCCTTTAGGAATTAATTCCAAGCTTCAGTTTGAAATTATGCCAGGAACTTCATTCAAGTTGTTCCAGATAAATTCTGAGACTGGGGAGGTAGTGACAGCCGCCACACTTGACAGAGAAGCTCGGGAAGTCCTCACCCTTCGAGGTAAGCGATCCACTGACTGTGCTAAACAAGCAGAAGCAGGCCGCAGGCAGTTGAGAGGTGAAATTTTACATTTCAGTAGGGTGTCTTTAAATAAAATATTATTGACCCGTGCTACCCAGTTAATTTGGTCCGAGGCTGTCTGGCAGGGCAGCATGTTTTAGGTGTGAATTAATGGCCGCCATCTGTGCCATCTTTTATTCCATGTCAGTGCTCGTGCGTGACGGGGGAGCCCCTGCTCTGTCCGGGACCACAGTGATTCTCTGCACGGTGGGAGATGAGAATGACCACGCACCAGAGATTGTTGTCCCCAGGGATGACATAGAGGTTCTGGAAAACCAAGAGCCAGGCCTTGTCTACACCGTTTTGGCTTCTGATATGGATGCTGGCAGCAATGGTGCTGTCACGTATCATATAATTGGTAAGTATCATCTTTATTTTAATTCCCCCCAGGATACCAGCATGGTTGACGCATATGTCATAGTGAGTATTCTGCATTCAGTACATAGTTCAGTGTCTACAGAACACACACCTGCTAAGAAGTAATTGGCACCCCGGCTGTCCTCTCCTCTTCCTTCTGCCAGCTACCCTGATCCACTGCCCTCCAAACTCCTCAAATATCTGCCCTCAACAACTCTTGTTGTTAGTAATCCATTTACATTAAAGGATATACAGATGCAGCAGATAGCTTTTCTCCTATTTTCACTTTTTTCATATGACCCCTTATTTTTATTATTTTGAGCAATCAGGCCTAGAGAACATGAGTAGAAACACAGTTTTCTGAGATCTGCAGACCAGTGAAACACTTCAGATCTATCACATACTCCAGAAATAAATCAAGGTCTTTAGGAACTTCTGCACTAGAAGATAACTTTGTAATATTTTTCCCCTTTGGATCAGAGAGAGACATAAAATTCTGGCAGAATCATGGAAGGATTAGCATGGCAAGCTTTGTGAAGGCCACATCTTATTTACCTGAAAAGGAGTGGAGAATTTTTTTTTTAGCACATGTCAGAGCATACATAGAATGATAATGAGATGAAGCTAGAATAATGCATGAAGAGAAGCCGTTTTAAGGTGTAAAAACAGCTGTGAGGCTAACTCTGGAAGCTGTCACTTTCTGTTTACTAAAATTTCCATAACCAAGCCATGTTTTCTATGTACCACCCATTTTACTCCAAAATGAGAATGGTTTTATTGTCACTTCCCCTGATTATAAAATGATATATAATTGCAGAATTTATATATGATTTATGAAAAACAACAGTAATAAACAAAAATCTTATATCTTGCAGAGATAAGTAATTTGATATTTTTGAAAATCACTTTTCAATGACTCTCAGTGAATGCAGACACCAATCTTATACTACTGAATAATTTATATACTCTGTTTTGTTATCTCCTTTTAAAAGTAATACACTGTGTAAATGTTTCATGTCATTGAATATGCATGTATTAGCATTTCTAATATGCCTATTATAACATGATTTATCTTACTCATCTCCTTTTGTGCTAATTTAGATATTGAACACTCTATTATAAAAATGTTGTAGTGAACACACTCAATTATTTCCTTATGATAAATATATCTGGATTATTTTGTCCAAGGACAGATCTATTTTAAATGATCACATATATTGTCATACTATCATCCAAAAGGATGACAATCCCTCAGTCTAACTTTGAGAAGCCCAATTTTTAAGAATAAGCCCAATTCTTACCTATTTCTTTGCTGTAGCAGAGGAATGGATACGCTTCCTTCTCTGTAAAGTCTACCTGTTTTCTGAAACTTCCCAAATCAATTGTGATTAAGAACCAGAGTTGGTATTTTTTAAAATTTGCAGTCTGTTGTGATTGATACTTTTGTAAAATACAATAAATATAAATTATTTGGACAAAAAAGGCATACAAAATGCAAGCCCCAATTTAAAAAAAAAATATTGCTATATTACAGAGACATAAGATTATTATGTCATACTACTATAAATTTCTCTAAATGTTTACTTTCAATTTATTGTATTTATTTTGTTGAGGACTGGGTATAAACAATCCCCAGACTGCATCAGTCCCCTTTCATTGCATCAAGAACATTCTTTTTGACCACTCACCTTTCTCATATGGTCAACATTTCCCTCACTATAGGCTTTTCCAATCAGTTTTTTAGTCTCCTATCCTGAAAAGCATAGATGTTTCCCTTCATCCTCTCTTTTCCTTCACAATCAAATTTCTTAAAAATTGTTGTCTACACTCTAGTTTCTATGTTTTTATTTCACTTTAGTTTCTTAGCTTGCTGCAATATATATTCCACTGAAGCCACTCTGCTGAAACTACCCTTGTTGAAAACACAAAAGATCTTGTTGCTAAGTGCATTGGATCTTTTTTCAGTTCTTGATTGTGCTGCTTTCTGTCTTTGTGCACCATGCCCTGGATGCTTGGCCTCTCTTTTACTTCAAAAGCCACTTACTTTCTCCTGATTCTTATCTGTCTTTCTAGGCAAACCTTCCCAGTGTCCTTTTTATTCTGACTTGTTAGAGTTTTCTGGATCTTTTTGGCATATCTCTTTCTTTCTCCTAGACACACTCCTACTGGTCATTTCATCCAGTCCCTGTTTCTAGTTACCATTAAACCTTAATGTCTCCCTATCTTGACTACATGCTAGATCTGCTGCTGCTGCTAAGTCACTTCAGTCGTGTCCGACTCTGTGCAATCCCATGGATAGCAGCCCATCAGGTTCCCCTGTCCCTGGGATTCTCCAGGCAAGAACACTGGAGTGGGTTGCCATTGCCTTCTCCGACATCCTAAATCTAAGTCCCATTAAAGGGCATTTTAAGAATTGAAGTATATACTTCTGTTAGCTCCAGATGTACAGCATAATTCAGTGTTTGAGTACACTCCATATAAAGTTATTGTTAAAATGCTGACTGTATTGCCAGTGCTGTCCATTACAACCTTGTAACTTCTTTCTTTTATACCTAGTAGTTTGTTCTCCTGATTCCCCTTCATGCACTTTGCCCCCCTCCATGACTCCCAATACTATGTTAAGTAGAAATGATGAGATTGGGAATATTTGTCTTATTCCTGATCTTAGAGAAAAAGTTTTCAGCATTTCATTGTAGGTATGATAGCTGTGGGCTTGTCATATATGGCCTTTATTATGTTGAAGTAAGTTTCCTCTTTACCAATTTTGATAAGAGATTTTATCATAAGTGAATGTTGAATTCTGTCAGATGTTTTTTCTGCATCTATCGAGATGATCCTCCCTTTTGTTAATGTGTTGTAACACCTTGATTGATTTGTAGATACTGAACCATCCTTGCATCCCTGGAATAAATCTTATTTGATCATGAATAAAAATTCCCTTTTATGTATTTGTTGAATTTGGGTTTGCTAATTTTTGTTGAGGAGTTTTTCATTATGTTCATCAGGAATATCAGCCTGTAATTTTTTTTATAGTGTCTTTGTCTGGTTTTGATATCAGGGCTTCATAGAATGAGTTTGGAAGTCCCTCTTCTTCAATTTTTGGTATAGTTTAGGAAAGATAGACTTCAACTTGTCTTTAAATGTTTGGTTGCTGCTGCTGCTAAGTCACTTCAGTCGTGTCCAACTCTATGTGACCCCATAGACGGCAGCCCACCAGGCTCCCCCGTCCCTGGGATTTACCAGGCAAGAACACTGGAGTGGGTTGCCATTTCCTTCTCCAATGCATGAAAGTGAAAAGTGAAAGTGAAGTCGCTCAGCTGTGTTCGACTCCCAGCAACCCCATGGACTGCAACCCACCAGACTCCTCCGTCCATGGGATTTTCCAGGCAAGAGTGCTGGAGTGGGGTGCCATTGTTGGGTAGAAACTCTCCAATTCTGGTGTGGTCCTGGTCTTTGGTTTGTTGAAGTTTTTTGATTATTAATTCAATTTCACTACTAGTAATCAGTGTTCAGGGTTTTTGTTTCCAAGACTGAATCTTGGAAAAGTGTATGTTTCTAGACATTCTTCCATTTCTTCTAGGCTGTCCAATTTGCTGGTGTATAGTTGTCGATAGTATTCTTTTATGATATTATCTCTGTGATATTGGTTGTAATTTTTCCTTTTTTATTTCTAATTTTGTTTATTTAGATTTTCTCTTATTTTCTTGATGAGTTTCTGGCTCATCTTAATCAACTTTATCTTAAACAACAGCTCTTAATTTCAACAGGCTTTTTCTATTTTTTAAAATTTGGTCTCTATTTTATTTACTTCTCACTCTTTATTATTCTCGTCCTTTTGTTGACTTTGGGCTTTGTTTGCACTTCTTTTTCTAGTTCCTTTAGATGGAAAGTTAGGCTATTTAAGATATTTCTTGCGTTTTGAGTTAGACCTGAATAACTATAAATTTCCCTCTAAGAACTCCTTTTGCTGTGTCTCATAGATTTTGGAAGTTGTGTTTTGTTTTGTTTTGTCAAGCTATGTTTTAATTTCCTCTTTGTTGATCCGTTGGTTTTCTAGTAATATATTGTATAGTTTCCACGTGTTTATTTATTTTTCAGTTTCCTTCCTGTAATTGATTTCTAGTTTCATAGCACTGTAGTCAGAAAAGATACAAGGTTGATATGATTTCTATCTTCTTAAATGAATTGAAGATTTTTCGTGGTTTAGCATGGGACCTGTCCTGGAGATCTAGTGTCCACGTGCACTTGAAAAAAGAATGTGTTTTCTTCTAATTTTAATGCAATGATTTGTAGATATTAATACCTATTAAGTCCTTCTGGTTGAATGTATCATCTAATGTATCCCTTATTGATTTTCTGACTGTTCATTTATGTAAGTGGGTTATGAAAATTCTTTATATTTATAGTATTCCTGTCCGTTTCTCCCTCTATGTGTGTTAATATTTGCTTTATATATCTAGGTGCTATTGTACTAGGGGCATTTATGTTTATGAATGTTGTATCTTCTTGATTTGACTTGTTTATCATTATATGATGCCCTTCGTCTTTGTTACTACAAACTTTGTTTCAAAGTCTATTTTGTGTGATATGAATATTGTTATCTCTGTTTTCTGTTATTTTCCATTTGTGTGGCGTATCTTTTTCCATCATTTTACTTTCAAGTGTGTGTGTCTTTAGATCTGAAGTGAGTCTCTTATAGGCAGGATTATAGATGGGTTTGTTTTCTAATCCATTCAGCCACCCCATGTCCTGTGATTGGAGCATTTAATCTATTTACATAAAGTAATCATTGATAGACATGTACTCACTGCCATTTTGTTACTGTTTTCTGGGGTGGTTTTTTTTTTTTTTTGTAGTTTTTCTATGTTCTTTTCTCATTTCTCTAATCTCTTCCCTGCAATTTAATGATTTTCCTTAGTCTTATATTTGGGTTATTTTATGTTTCTTTGTGTGTCCACTGGAGGTTTTTGATTTGTAGTTACCATGAGGTTTGACTATATA